CTCGCCCTTTCAGCCGTGGGGGCGTTATAATGTGACGGTCAATTCCACTATTCGTTGGTAAAAGAGTAGCCCAAGAGTTGGCGCTGATGACTACCTGCCTTCCCTCTAGTCTTACACTGCTAAATTAGGGACAGCTAGCGCAGATAGCCCTCGTGTAGCTTTGCGCGAAATTCAAAACAATAAGAACACACCTATTTGATAGTTCACAGCTGCATATAAAATAAAAAATTGCATGAAACATTAATTTTGCATGTCACTAAAGGTCACATGACACCTTCTTGTGGTTCTGCAGATATGTCGGACACACGATTGTGCCTTGAAGTGCATGAGGCTACCATTAGTCGATGATCCAGTTGTTACGTATCTGCTTGTTTGTCAATTTCCGGTAGAAATTCTTTCCGAGAAACTTGAGCTATCCAAGTCCTTTCTTGATTAAACCAGTTTATTTTTTTTTCTCCATACACACTTCTGGTACACAGTAATTTTATGCATTGCTGCCATCTATTGGTGTAAATAAGTAATATACAGCTCCGAAGGAAATGTAAACCAGGGTCACTTGGAATTCGTTTTAGCTGCCGTTTGGTCATTTTGCGCTTGTAATAAGAACCCACCTATTCGATAGTTCACAGCTGCATATAGAATAAAAATAGCATGAAACATTAATTTTGCATGTCACTAAATGTCACATGACACCTCTTTGTGGTTCTGCAGATGTGTTAGACACGCTTGTGAGATACGCAAGTATGAGCCCACACAGGATAACTATCAGGAAGCAGCTGTAGGATACATGGCTGGTTATGATGGCACAAAAAAAGAATGCAGTGTAACACATTGTTTGGAGATCTTGGCAGATACAAATTCTAGAAAGTTTTCGATTTTATAACAAAGAAAGAATATATTTGGTTTGGTAAAGACACCAGCTAGTATAATAAACATATGTCAGGCAACATAAAATTGTTTCATTGTTGTTTTGAAAGGAATGGTTGTGAATGAAGGTTTCTCTGACTTTGGTCACATGTTTGATTATACACGAGAAGATAACAGTGTTTACAGTTTGATAAAGTGTTTATATATGTGTTATATATAAATAGAAATGTATCACCTTGCTAAATATAAACTTGCAAAGGAAAAATAATGCGAAAAAAAAA